ATGGTTTGCACCTAAGTGTAGAAAATCTGTCTTCAATGAGAGGGAAGAATGAGGCCCACATGTGGAAGAAGCTGGGACAAACAAGGAACAGGGATGCCCCACTCAGCTCCTTGAACACAGCTGTCTGTATCCACTGTGTCCTGACTTCCACACTGTTTGGGTATTCAACTCTTGGATTCTTTGAGCCAACAGTTCTCTTTTTTTGCCTATGCTAACTTGAGCGTGGTTTTTGCCACCAAGAGTCCAGACTCATATAGCTAAGAAGCCAAGAACCAAGCCCTTTCTTTTAGAAATAAGCCCATGATGCACCCCCACCCTGCTATGCCCTGACCCCCAAAGTACATTTTTATTTACATAATACGTAGAGTATTTTCAAACATATATAATTACATAATTATGCCTTTATAAATCGTTTGGTCATGTACATTTTATATGCTTATTTAACCAGATAACATTCGTCTTCTGATTAGTACTACCCATCTTTCTATGTAAGTCTTTCAGTATTTTTTTCTTAATAAGAATAAATCTATATCTGTTTTTCCCCAACTCTTTTCTCTGAATCATCCTTTCCAATTCTATGAGCCTTTCTTTTTATAAGATCATTCTAAACCAGGTAAGTTACTTTATATCATTCCAATGGTTTTATTCATTCAGTCAATATCTGAGTACCTTTAAAGTGGTGTGGGAGCCACACTCATGAGTAAGAACCAGTTTCTGCTCTCCAGAAACTTCTGTCTTGGTTGTACAGTCATTCCCTCACTCTGTAGTTATTTGTCTATAATATTGCTTGTGTGCATTTCCTGGACTGATATTTTTTTTCCCTCCACTGGCTTCTTAAATGTTGGTATTTCGCAGGATTCTGTCCTTGGCCTTGTCTTATTCTGCATGGGCCGTGCCATCCATTCCTACTTTTCCCTCGCTGTCCCATATATCATCTTTTCCCTTGAGTTCTAACTCTGTTTTCAATAGAATAGAACAACATTTGATTTCACATGACCTATAGGCATCTCCCACTCGGAATTTCCAAAAACAAACTCATTATCTCCCAGATGATATCCTCATCCTAGTCATCCAAGCTAGAACCATCAAATTCTTTTCCTCTCCTTCACTTCTATGTCCCGTGACTCTCAGTTTCACCTCTCTTTTTATTCCATGTGTACCTTCCCTGCTTTGTACATCATCAGTTTTTCCCTCGACTAGGGTTTGGGAAACTTTTTTCTGTCAAGGGCCAGATAAGTATTTTAGGCTTCGTAGGCCATATGGTCTTTGTGGAAACTATTCAACTCTGCCATTGTAGCATGAAAGCTACCATTGACAATGGACAAACAAATAAGCAAGTCGGTGTTCCAATGAAATTTCATTTACAAAAGTAGGCAGTGAGTCATATTTGGCCCGTGGGCTGTAGTTTGCCAACCACTGATCTGGACTATTGCAGTAGCCTCTTAACTGGTCTCCCCACCTCCCATTCTCTCTCAGGTTTACCCTCCACAGAATTTCTTTTCTAAGATAGATCTAATCATATGTGGTTGTTCTTCAAAGCCTTGGTTTGCTTTCCATTGCCTACTGGTTAAAGCCCAAAATTCTTAGCATATAGCAATTAAAGACTTGTAAAATTTACTCCCACATATATATCCGACTTCATCTATTGTCATTCTCTGACACACCACTAGAATACTCTTCCCCTTCTATTGACTGACTACTTAGTTAAGTAAATGCCACTTTCATTGTGAACCTGACTCAATCTTGCTTCCCATAGCGGGTAGAATTAATGACGTCTCACTCTGTGCTCCCATGGGCTATGTTAATTCTAGTATTGTAGCTCTTATTATATGTTTTTAGATGTGTTAGCCTCTTTTGTTTTCAAGGAATAGGAGCCATATTAGTTAAGGTCTCTTTTGGTTTCAAATGACAAAAACAACTCCAGCTTCTTGGCCCGGGTAAAGGCAGAGGTTGAGCTGGAAACAGTGACTCAATATCATCAGGGATGTATCTGTGTCTGTCTCTCTCTCCCCGCCTCCCTCTCTCCCTCTCCAGCCCCACCTTTCCCTCATCTCTTCATCTCTCATCCCTGATTCTTTTGTATATTCTGCTTCACTCTTCAGGCCACTTTTTTCCTGAAGGCTAAAACCATGGCTACCAGGAGCTCTACACTCATATTCTCCCATCTTTGTGACAATTCCACTTGGAAAAGTCTCAGAGAAATGTTATGATGAGCTTAACTTGGATCACAGGCTCAACCTTTGGTCTAGTCACTGTGTTATCTTACGAATTACTATGATTGGTCTGTCTTAGGACATTGCTACTCTTGTGTTTAGGTGGGCTGGATCTGTTATCTACATAAAGAGGAAGGCAGACAATACCTTATTCTAGGAATACTTGTAGAAATTATAATACCTGGGATAATATAACAAACCCAGAGAATAGGCTTCAGAACTGGATTCTGGAACTGGAAGATTGTTCAGAGACAGCTCTGTTGACTGCACTCTCTCTTCCTCTGTCTTTTCAATTCTGCCTCCACTGCCTGCTGACTCTCCTTGGGTATCTCCAGTTCATGGGCTCAAAAGAATAGATTTGATTGGTCCTGTTGGGGCAGTATGGAAAATTACATTGGAGCCCCTTAGAGGGAAGCATTTAGTACAGTACTTTGAAGTTTGGTCTGTCCCATATATATAGGAAGTTAGTGCTTGTTTCCCCTATAAAATTCTGAGCTTTTCTTGAATCCCCAGAGTTTATTACAGACATATCTGATGCATAGTAGGTGCCCATCAAATGTTTGTTTTAAATAGACATTGACTATTACCTGAAAATTTGGAACTATCATAATTGTGTTGTTCCCATTACCACCGGGACTGTTGAAAGACACTAGGAGAGTCTGCCCGTGTTCCAAAAGCCAGAGGGTGCACCTGGTAGAGATTCAAAGGGCTGATTAAATGAATGTTGTGATATTAATGTCAACCATAATCAATAGTAATGAATATACAAGGTGTGCACCTGTATACCATTCTTTCTGGATATCATGACCCCAATTTGAATAAGTACCAATGGGTAGAGAAGAAAATTGAAGCAGCACAAGGCCAACATACTGCTCTCATGCCTGTAAGAGATGGATAAACACAGAGATACAAATGGTACTCAAGTTTTAAATTGTATTTGTGGGGCCAGCCCGGTGGCATAGCAGTTAAGTTTGCACACTCCGCTTCGGTGGCCCGACGGTTCGCAGGTTCGCACCCCGGGTGGACGCGGACTGACGCACCACTTGTCAAGCCGTGCTGTGGTGGCATCCCATATAAAGTAGAGGAAGATGGGCACAGATGTTAGCCCAGGGCCAATCTTCCTCAGCAAAAAGAGGAGGATTGGCATCGGATGTTAGCTCAGGGCTAATCTTCTTCACAAAAACAAAAATAAATAAATAAATTGTATTTGCTTATTTTTAAATAGATAATACAATTGTTCAAAGTTCAAGAGGTACAAATGGACATAAAGTTAAAAACTCCTTCCCACCCTAGTCCTGCAGCCCTCTGTTTTTTCCTCCCCAGAGTCAACCAATATTATCAGTTTCTTTTCTGAAAGAATTTCCTTTCAGAGATAGTTTTTGCATATTGATAGTTATTTGAAAAATATCTGTTACCTATACAATGGCTATATCTCATTCTCCTCAGCTTATCAAGCACCGCTTTAACTTGACCTGTGTTCTCAATTACTCTGCTTTTTCCCTGGAGTCAATGATCTTTCTAAGCAAGTATCATTACTTTGGGGCTTATGTATTTTTTTAATTAGTTAATTAATTAAAAGTCTTCAGAGCGAGTCTGCTTGTCTCAGTCACAGTAAAGCCTCCTTTTTGTTCCCCTAAGCAATCTTAATCAGCACCCATAAGACATCTTCCCAGTTTTTCCTTTAGATAAAACATCAAGTTGTTTCTACAGTGTCCCCCCTGTGTGCCAGGCATTGCGCTAAACACCTTACCCAGATCATCCTATTTAATCTTTATAATGATCCAATGAAATTGGTGCCCTTGTGATCCCAGTTTTACAGATGGAGGAACTGAGGCCTAAAGAAGTTAACTAATTTGGCCAAGCTCAAATGGGAAGTGACAGAACTGGGATGTGAATCCAGTCTCTTTCACTCAAGAGCCCCCCCAGCTCTTGAGTATTACTCTGTACAGCTTCCAAGGAATTCAGTTTTATGAAAGGAGATTAAATGGACCCTTCTAGGTAATGATAAAGCCAGTCCTAGCAGAGCCTGGGTTCCATCAAGAGCCAGGCTCTGCCCACCCTAGGTTTTTCTTTTGCCAAGTGAAAATGAGAGGAGAATTACATGCATTGATGTTTCATCCAGGTAAAGGGTGGAATGTAGCAATCTGTAAAGATCCTGGAGCTAGAAAGAAGAGGAGGGCTCTAAATATACAGGGGATGTCTACCCAGACATATGGGTACCCACAGCATTGCGGAAATCTGTGGAAGGAAAGTACCTCTTAGGAGAGGTCATCTTAGATTTCTTTTGTTAAGGCCTTAGTTGGTTCATTATTGCGTTGTTTCAGCTTCTGAGCTCAACTGCCCTAGAGAATCAGGGGTAAAAATCTTTCATTTATCTTAGACTTTGATCTTCTACAACTGTTTTTCCCAAAAAGATACCCTGCTTTTCTTTTTTTTTTTTTTTTTTTTTTTTTTTTTTTGTGAGGAAGCTCAGCCCTGAGCTAACATCCACGCTAATCCTCGTCTTTTTGCTGAGGAAGACTGGCTCTGAGCTAACATCTATTGCCAATCCTCCTCCCTTTTTTTTTCCCCCCCAAAGCCCCAGTAGATAGTTGTATGTCATAGTTGCACATTCTTCTAGTTGCTGTATGTGGGACGCGGCCTCAGCATGGCCAGAGAAGCGGTGCGTCGGTGCGTGCCCGGGATCCAAACCCAGGCCGCCAGTAGCGGAGTGGCGCACTTAACCGCTAAGCCATGGGGCCGGCCCGATACCTTGCTTTTCTGATGGACTTTAGCTCTCTGTGAGCTTCTCAGAGGGATAATCAAATTAATAACATACGGAATGTCTAGTTTCGTCAGGGTTCCCCAGAAAACAAGGCCTGAGGCAAAAGTTTGTGTACTACTGCTTTATTTGGGAGTGCAAATCAGTGTGAGGGAGATGGACTTAAAAAGAGAAAAACTTCATACAAAATAATGAAGCTTGTATTTTATTGTCCAGGGTTTTGGCCTTGAATTTTGTATTCCAGAGATCCCTGGGTATGTGTGACTACTACTAGTTTTAAAAGTCTGGCTTGGGATGTGGGGACAGGTGTTGGGGGAGGAGAGGGCAAGTGAATTGTTACTTATGAAAAATTTAAGTGTAGGCTCTCTCATACATAAAAAAAAACCTTGAGTTGATTTTTCTCTTTACAATTACAATGAAATTTATCCAAATATATAAAGGGCTAACTTATAGGAAAACCAGTCTATATAGGGTAACTTAAGAAAGGTAGACATTCACAGAGAAAACATTATAATTTGTAAGTATTACTGAACACAGAAGAGAACTTATAAGGTTAGAATTGTATTTTAAAAGATGTCTTTGGATAAAATCAAAGGTTAATTTATAAATGTATTTGTTGAAATAATATTTTATTAAAAATACTATATCTTGAAATATCATGGAAAAATTTCTTGTTCTGGCTTATATGCACTCTGTGAAGGTGTTTTTCATAACACAAATGAACTGGAATGTGGCAAATAATTTGGTTTACATATCGTTTTTTAAAGTGGGGGAGAAAAGTGGTATTGTAGACATAAGCCAAGCTGAATCTGTGATTTCTAGGGTCAGCTCAGTAGAAAAGGGGAGTCCTTAACCTGCTGTTGATTGTATTTGGATCTAGATCTAGAATCCAGGTTATGTACAACCAAAAAGTTAACGAAAAGTTAGAGGCTTATTTAATACATCATTTTCTAACGTGCAAAATCATTCCTATAGCTCTTATTACATGAACTCCAAGGTGAAATGGGGAGAAGGGGAAGGGTTAATTTCTCTAGACTCTTTTAACCCAGTTTCATAATCCAGAAGAATGAGCTGTTTCAGTTAGGATGGAAATAATGCTACTAAATACAAAAACAAAATACATACTTAATACCCTACTGACAGATTGAGTTCTGCATTCTGTTTTATTTATATTCTAAATGTATACAAATGTTTAAAGATTTATGAAGTAAATATTTTGTTTTTTGGAGGAATTATCTAGACAAGACAGATGCTGTAAAGGTGAGAGCACATAAACTATTTTTTAGGATGCTTTAGTTCTGTTTTACCGTCAATTTATATAGTTTTTGAATAATTGGCTTTAGTATAAAATTACATTTTAGCCTAGATAATAAAAATGTTTATATAAAAGCTATGAATAAATTATTTCATATACCTCAAACTAAAATAATAATGATAATGCTAGTTTTTATTTCTGCTTTTATTTTAGGCATCAAAATATAGACAGAATGGCAGATTGCTAGTGTTTGATCCAAAGGGTAAATGATTTATTACTTAAAAAGAATGTGTTTGACAGCCATTTTATCTTAAATATCTGGAATGGTTGAGTGTAGTTGAAAGAGTTAGCAATTAAATCCTTTATTATATGGTCTTTCTTTCAAAAAGTGCCTAAATATTTGCCTATCAAGAATTTCTATTAGGAACATCACTATTGAGTAAATACTGAGTTTTTTTTTCTTCTCTTTCAGAAAGAGTGACGATTGAACCCAGTGCAACAATGTCAGAGTAAGATGTCCCTGGTTGTGCAGCTGATCTATCATATGCCTTTTAAGCAATTAGAACTAGATAATGCAATCATTTGTCACCCAATTAAATTTGAAAGGCCAGAAATGCATGGATTAGCACTTTAGCTTTTGCTTCAGTCAAAGCAATTGTCCTAGATAAAAGGGCATTTAAAATGAAAAATGAATTTAGATAAAAATGTAGAGGCATAGATAATATTCACTTCTACTTTCTAAATGCTTAACCACCAAGTATTCTGTATTTTATTTATATCATTTTCATTACTCATTCCTGTTTCCCTTTGATACTTGTTTATTTCTTTCAGAATATCTCTTTAAATGAATATATACTTTAAAACTAAACAAATTCTTTATTTACTGAGATGAATCGTTATTACTAAATAAGGAAAATAATCACCCAACTAGTTGAAGAGATTGGTGTTAAAAAGAATCAGTCCAGTTTTAATTTAGTAGCTAAATATTAAGTACCCGCTTTGTTCAAGGGATTGATTCTGATAATTCATTAAAGCCCTTCTTGATATGATCATCTCCTCCCCCTGAAAAAAATATTCTATTATTTATTCTATGAAAAATTACACTTTGAAAGTTGATCATAAAACACATAGAGATCAATTATTGACAGATTGGTAGGCACCATTCTAGTGGGATTCTATTCAAATTGATATTATTTTGGTTTATTCTGAATATTATTGGCTGGGAAAAATTCTACATTATGTATGTTCATTTTTATACTGTCAAAGCTAAAAATTAAAATTAGAATCTAACTTGGTTTTTGTTGTAAATTATATATTAAATACATATTTTTATATTAAAGAGAAAGTAATGTATAACAGATCAATGACAGAGAATGTTTATTTCAGATTAAATGTTATAGAAACCAGAAAAAGTAAATACCTTGTTAAGTATATTAATCTATATGTAAATATATATATCCTATTACATGGTTGAAAACATATTGAAATAAAGAAATCTAAGAAAATTTTAGTAGTCTTTGAGGGAAATATGATATAACTTTCAATAATAATAAGGGAAGTTAGTAGGTCATTAATGAAGATAATTACTATTGTGTCTATGAATCCCACTGTTCATAGACTGTGGTAACAGTGTGGGAACTAGAGCAAGGGGTAATCTACATTCTGAGGTAGTTAAATCCAAGGGTAAATTAAATGCAGCCTGGGCCAAAATAGAAAGCAAAGTGATTACTTGTTCTCTTGATCTCATTAATACTTGCATCTGCTTATCAAACTGCTTTTTGCGAGGGCAAAATGATCATGTTCCCTTAATTCACTTGCAGAGAAGAGTTTGAGTTTGGTTGTTTGGAGTGGGAGAGAAGGAGGAATGGGTAGTGTAGCCGATAAGCTTCACAGGTGAGTGGCTTTGTCACCTCAGGTACCTTACCCAGAGTTGAAGGTAAACAGGACCAGTCCTGGAAAAAAATGGTCAAGTAGGAAAATAGAAAATCATGGGGGCCTTTTGCTTGTGGAACAGTGTGACTGACCTGCACAGTTGGTAAATTTTCCCATTGTAGCTTCCATTCTAATCTCCACCCTCCTACTGGCTCCATAGTCTGACTGGCAAGTGGAATTTGCCAGAAGGTCCTATCCGGGTTGGGTTATGGAAAACTAGAAGTTTTCTTTCCCTGCCAGTTCTCTGCTTTAATCTTTTGATTGATTATTCTTTCTAGTCAGAAGCTCAAGAAGTGTGTGGACTTTATAAACCAGGAGTTTCAAACTTCTCTGCACACAAAGCCCACATTTATCATTTCCTTTTTTCCTCATGGATCTCATGTGTGAAAGATTTTGTCTACTCAACAAATTGCACTTAATTAACAAACTATTTTCAGCAGTAAAAGTAAAAGATATCTTTAATGCTGGGCAAAGTTTTTTAGATATTGGACCTTTGATCTATTGGGTTTTGGTCAAGCTTTCGAGCATACTTAAAAATGTGAGGGGAAAATGGCTGAAGCACATCCAGAGCATGGTTGAAAACATTTTATTTATAGGTTATTTCATAATCATATGTTTTATCTTTTCTACTAAAATGCATGACAGGTTATTTTTTATTTCTATTTTTACACTTTAAGTAAATGCCCATTTGGACGCAGACCAAGGTTAGCAAGAAAACTTTATACCTCACCAGCACAAGTCTCTCTAAATGTAGCTAAGACGTTCTCAGAAAAGTAAGTTTTAATTAACTTTGTTTTTAAGCCCATGTTTGGCAAACATAAATCATTTTAAAACAAAGTTTAAAATATAAACTTCCTGAAAAAATTATTCCAATAGAAATTCGGGGACATTTCATAAATATGCCCAATGTTCTTAACACACTAAGGAACAATCCTGAAACCTAGGTTATCTACTCTCTAGCATAAATATGTTCCAGTGGGATATCTAACTTGACTAACTCTCTAACCTTAGTAAATACTAAATTAAATACCTTCCATTTCCAAAGGATATTACATCAAGTAAAAATTTGAATCTTTCCTCAGTTGTAACTTCAGGAAATTGTAATTACAATTTAAATTGTATTTAAATTAGAGAAAACAGGTCTTTCCGAGTATCCTGGTTAGAGGCATTATTACCATAAATAACATCAGTTTCTTAGATGGCAGTCAATAGATTATAGTTGAAGAGGAGGTTGGATTTTGGGCCTTTGATTCTTTGAAAGTGTGTGTGAGAAAGACTACAGAAAGTGAGCAGAAGAGGAATTCATATTTTACTGTTAAAATGATGATTTGGTCAATTCTTATATGTATTTTTATGGCATGTTCACTGCTTCCAAATAGTAATATCCCATTTATCTTCAGGCTGTTGAGTATGTTGACTTCCTGCATGTTGTGTCCTTAAGATTATTAAAGGTATTTCCAATTATTCAACTACCCAGAACTATACTAGATAAATTCCCCTCCTTAGGGATATTACTCCCCCACTTAGTGAATATATAAGTACCATATTTCATAGATTCTAAAGCACACATATTTTCTTCATATTTTAACATCTCTTACAATTGATGGCATCTTACACTTAAACTTGGCAATGCTTTTTCTTTCTTAAATTGTGGTATGTCTTATAATAAATAGATGATATCTTAGATTCAACAAAATGCTGTAATTCTTGGGGGAGAAAAGGCAGTAAAGCCCTTTCATCTAGATTAGATATTAGAGCATACAAATTCTAGTAATCACTTATGGTGACCTTTGGCATAATAGGAATCTCACCATGCTAAAAATTGAATACTTAAGTGACTTCTCAACTTTTCATATGTAGAATTTCTTCTTGGATGCTTTCTTTCTTAGAAAGTGGAGGAGGGCAGAGGCAGAACAAATGTAAATTATCTTTGCTCTGCATTTTTCATTACCAGAGAGGGATTTTGCTTTAGCATCGTATACTGGGGAAGTGAAGATTCCCATAGTATTAAGACTACAACAAGCTGTTCAGCCTATTTGCTAAATCACTGTACAAGACCACTAACTTAACTAATGTTCTGGATTCACATTTCAGTGGGGAGTCACCATAACTGTGGGGAAAAAAATAATACTTTACATCTTTTTATATCTTTCCATGCAAACTAGAAGTTGAATTTTTAAACTTGGTAAAGGAGACATATTAAAAGAATCTTAAGACCACAAAAAACAAACTTGGGTTTCTTTCCACCAGCACGTGTGCCTGTCTTTGCAAACAGAGTGCACCACACAAGAATCCTCTGTCTCAATGCGTTATTTATTGATATGAAGTTTCAGGCTTAAAGGCTAAAAGAGAAAATTAACGTATTTTTATTTCAACTACTTAATGAAAAAGCAGGCTACTTTATATTATGACCAAGGGTTAATGTTAGTGTTGGACTCTCTCCATAAGTGTAGCATTTAGCAATGGTAAGAATTGATTTACAAATTTAAAGAAAAAAACTCAAGGCTAGTATTCCTTAAATAGTTTTATTCCATCATATCGCAATGATGTGCCAAAGACATTCATATAACTGATTGCTTATATGATCTATGTTAAAGAACTATGGAAAGAGTCTAAGAATCTTTACACAATGATAAATGCCAAATAGAAATAGAATTTTAATCAGTAAAAATTATTTTTAATGCTTTTCCACAAAGAAGATACTGCATTTAGCTGTTTAGTTTATTGTTGGTATATTGTGTGCCTATATTAAATGTGTGTATGTGTGTGAACCCATCTAAAGCCTTAAACAGAGCTGTAACCTAAGGAAGTATGTTTTCTTTATCTACTTTACCATTTAGGAAGGAAGTCTCTTCAAAAAATATTGAAAATAAAATCTCTTTAAAGAATACCGAGAATAGAATATCTTCAAAGAATATTGAAAATAAAGATATAAAAACAAATCTACAGTCTAAGCTATGGTCATCTTCCTTCTTAAAAGAAAGCACAGGTAATAACATTTGTCTTGAGTAACTGTAGCTTCTAATTTAGCCCTCCTTATCCATGACCTCTGGGATGTTGACAACTCTGTAGGTCTGGGGTGGATTATAGGAATCAGTAACTTTTCAAATTCATGTACTGGATGATTCTGATATACAGTCAGGTATGGGATCCATGGGTATTGTTATTTATTATTTATAACATGATAATGGTAGGGTATTAAATTTTAGAATGAATTAAAATACCTATGAAAGCATTAACAAGTTCCATTCATTCAACAGTGATTTATTGAATGCCAGGCACTGGTTTAGAAGCTGTGGATATAATAGTTGGCAAGTAGGCAAGGTCCTTGCGCTTACAAAGTTCACATTCTAGTGGGAGATACAAAAACAAACACAAATAAGCAAGACAATGACAGGTTGTGATGGGTGCTATGAAGTAAATAAATGGCACCTGAGAGAAGACCACCTTAGATCTAGGGATCAGGAAACGTCTCTCATGATGCTCAGTAAGTGTTTGTGAGTTGAATGAGACAGTTCCTGTGACATCACACAAAGCCTTTAATTCCCTGTTGTGACCTTCCCTGATGATATCAGTGTAATGAGTCAGTGAACAGGCTGGATACACACTGGAAGATCAGGGTGGTTGTGAGCCGATGGAGACTGTAAATGAAACAGAAGCAGGTAGATGGCCTGAATAGCCCCGCCATCCTTTTCTTGGAAGGACTTGGTATCCCTTTTCAGGGTAGCACTTTTTGTTTAGAGTCAGGAGTTTGCTTTAGGGTCAGGAGTTTTGTCAATTTTTTTCTTTTTTGGTCTGCATTGTCTTAACATTGTCTTCTCTTGGGTTCTCTTGGATTTTCTCATTTCCTTCTTTCTAACACAAGTGTTTCTGTGTTATTTAGAGTAACTCATGGCCACATTCCCATAAAAGAAGGCATCTCACAGGACTTCCCAGACACTCAATCTTACAAGAAAAGGGATGGTGTAGCACAAGTTCAGTTTGAAACTGTGAAAGACATCTGTAGAGCCAAAGGAGTTGGCAAGATCACACAATAGTATTTCCCAAAGAGATAATTTTAGGAAACACATAGTAAACATTTTTTTTAATTACTTTAGTAGTACTATATTTTAATGTGTGTTAGAAAAAAATAATGTAAGACATAGTTAAGAATATGGGCTCTGGAGCCAAACTGACTCCCAGATTTACCACTTAATTAGTGGTGTGAAGTTGGGCGGGTTATTTAATCTCTCAGTCCCTCAGTTTCAACTATGAATGGGATAAAAATAGCACACACCTCATTGCGATGTTGAGAGAATTAAATGAGTTAATATGTGTAATGTTCAGAAGAATAATGGCATATAATGTTGGTTATATTATTATGTTGCTTTTATTACTACATCCATCAGTCATAGATGATAATATTTATGTTCTGATAATTTATAAGTTAAAAAGTAGATTCAAAGAAAAATATTAAGTAAATAGTATAGATGATACTCATATATGGCAAAATGGATGAAGATAGAATAAGAATTACTGAAGTTTGGAAAATATTCCAATACATTGTGCCATGGAGATTTTACCTCTTAAATATTTCTCTGTCCCCTCTTCTCCATCCCTATTTTACCAGCGCCCTATCATTCATCATCTCTCTCCCTTGGACTTTTTAAAGAGACCTTTAACCTCCTTGCTCTTTTTTCTTTTTTTCTTGTCTCCCCTCAAATACGCTTTCCACCGTGCTATCCAAGTGTTCCTTCAGAAATGCAGAATTTATCATACTTATTTCCCTACTGAAAAATCTCTCACTAGTAGCCCCTTCATTCTTAGAATAAAGTCCTAACTCCAAGGCTCCTGGCCTGCAAGACTCTCCATTCTCCAGCTAGCCCCTACCTACCCCTCTCGCCATGTCTGTCACCATTTCAGCCTCAACCTTGACCCTTAAGCAGCATCAAACTGTTTGTAGCTCCACACACATTCTTGTTTCTGCATTGGCTCATGCTATCCCCTCTCCTTGGAGAACTGATCCACTCAGATTGGACAATTCCTGAACACTCTCCAGACCAGCGTGGGGCCCTCCTCTGTTCTCCCATTTACCTTGTACACATCTTTATCACTGTTCTTTCATACTGGTTTATAATTATCCATTATGTTTCTGACTCACCATTGGAGTGTGACTGAGTACGCTGAGGTCAAGGACTGTTCATTTTTGTGTTCCTGGGACTCAGCATAGTGCTGGGCACTGAATGGGTAGTCGGTAATGCTTATTTTTTATTTTTCAGTCATCTATGTTTGGTGATAGGTACTGTGGCTTGACATGAAGAAAAATCATTAATAACGTTATGTAATCTCTGGTTATGTGTAGAATACTTCACGTGTATCTCTTCCTAATTTGTGTGCGTGTGTGTGTGTGTTGAGAGAGAGAGAACTTTATTCTCAGATATCCAAGGATTGACATGATCTGCCTAAGAAGTCTTATTTGCTTCTCAGCCTCTCCAGTCTTACTTGTCCTCTCCAAGCTCTTTATTTAGTACTTACCTTCCTATTAGAACAATTTGGGAAGTATATTTTTGGAGATAGAATAGCAGTAATTTCTTTTTTCTTTAAATTATTATATTCTTTATAAACAAAACTGTTTTCCATTTATTAAAATTTCATGCACTAAACAGTTAACACTAACATCAGCTCAATGTTATTGGTTTGGGTTTTTTCTTCTTGCACTTGGCAGTTTTATTACCTTTTTTGGAAATGGAAATCAGATGAAGTTTATTGCAGTGCTGTTTAGTCATGAAAAAAAATAAACTCCAGAACAGGAAGCCATGTAGTAAACATGTACACTTATTATGTTATAATTTAGGAATAACCATTTTTAGTTTTTGAAATTTTCTATATTTATTGATTAAATGATGTATATTCTATTTTAGGTAGAGTTGGCAAAGATGCAGTCATTGCAGAGCAGGCAAAAAATAATGAATATTGCCTTCAAGATATTGATGATAAGTTGTCCAAATCAACAGATGATGGTGGTAAAGATGATACCAATGGTGAAGATAATGATGAAGACAGTAACCCTAATAAGGATACTCATGCCCCATTAGAGTTAATGGCAGAAGTAAGTTTTACTTGTATTATATTATAATTTAAGAAACTTAAAAATATTTAAAAAACTAAATCGTATATAGCCTTGAAGATTAAAAAAATCTGGTAAACAGGAGAAGGCATTCCTGGCATAGGAAACAGGTTGTGCAAAGGCATTGAAACATCACATGCAGAAACTGTACATAAACATTTACTGATAATTCTATAAAGGACAAAACAATTTTACCTCCCTTGTGGTTTCACAGTCTACCTTTAATTAATATTGTACAGCTTCATGTATATCGTAAGAACTTCATAACAGTACATTTTCATTTCCCTCTTCTCTTCCTTTGTACTGTTGTTACCATACATTTTATTCTACATATAAGCCCCACAATACATTATTATTTTTGTGTTAAATGGTCAATTATCTTTTAAAGAGATTTTTTAAAAATTGGAAAATATCTTTTTTGGTATACATTTCTGGAGTTCTTCAGAGTTTTGTGTAGATCCAAATTTCTACCTGATATTATTTTCCTTGTACCTGAAAAACTTCCTTTAGTATTTCTTATAGTGCAGTTCTGCTGGCATTGAATTCTCTGAGCTTTTGTTCGTCTGAAAAAGTGTTGATTTCACCTTCATTTTTAAAGGATATTATTCCTGGAGAATTCTAGGTTGCCAGGTTTTCTTCTGTGCTTTGAAAGGTTGCTCCATTGTCTAATAGTTTGCATAGTTTCAGACAAGATGTCTGCTGTTATTCTTACCTTTATTCATCTGTATATGTCTTTTTGTCATTTATTTATTTATTTATTTGTGTGTGTGTCTGTGTGTCTGTGTGTGTGTGTGTGTGAGGAGGACCAGCCCTAGGGTAACATCCAATGCCAATCCTCCTCTTTTTTGCTGAGGAAGACTGGCCCTGGGCTACCATCCGTGCCCATCTTCCTCCACTTTATATGGGATGCCGCCACAGCATGGCTTAACAAGCGGTGCATCGTTGCGCGCCCAGGATCCAAACCAGTGAACCCCGGGCCACTGCAGTGGAGCGCGCACACTTAACCACTTGCGCCACCAGGCCAGCCCCCTGTCTTTTTGTCTTTTAAACATTTTTCATCTGTATTACTATTTTTGGTGATTTGATTATGATGTGCCATGATGTGGTTTTCTTCATATTTCTTCTGTTCATTGAGATTCTTGGATCTATGAGTTTATAGTTTTCACCAGGTTTGGAAAAATGTTCAATTATTAAGTCTTCAAATATATTTTCTGACCTCTGCCTCTCTCTTTTTATCTAGGCTACAATTACATGTATGTTAGACCACCCAATATTGTCACAAAGATCACTGATGTTCTTTTTTTCTATTTCTCTAGATATTTCATTTTGGAAATTTCTATTGCTATGTTGTCAAGTTCATGATCTTTTCTTTGCTATTATAATATGCTGTTAATCCCATCTTCTCTCCCCCCCTTTCTCTCTCTCTCTCTATATATCTATATTCATTTCAGATATTTTATTTATCATGTCTAGAAGTTTTATTTAAATATTTTTATATCATTTCTCTCCTCATCATTTTCATATTTTTGTCTACTTTTGAGAATATGGCTTATATTTATAATAGCTATTTTAACATGCTTGTGTGGTATGCTATCATCTTTGTCAATTCTAGGTCAGTTTTTATTGATTAAGTTTTTTCCTGCTTATGGGTCATATTTTCCTGCATCTTTGCATGCCTGGTAATTTTTTACTGAATCCTAGGCATCGTAAATTTTATGTTCTTGGGTACAAACTTTTGGTTTTTTTTAAAAAAAAAATGTTGTTGGACTTTGATCTGAGACACAGTTGAGTAACTTGGAAGCAGGTTTCTCTTTTTGAGTCTTCCTTTTAAGCTTTGTTGGGCGAGTGCAGAGCAACCTTCATAGTATAGGGACACTTCTAAGGCAATACCTGTACGAGGACTCTTCCCAATGCTCTGTGTATTAGGAGGATCTTCCGCTCTGGCTGTAGAGAACATGAACTCTTCTCAGCCCTGTGTGAGGTCCAGTGATTGTTCTCCCTGCTCATTCTAGTGATTCTTTCTCTATCCTCTGATAGTTTCTTAATACTTATATGCAGATCAGTACCAGCCAAAGACTCAAAGAGACACCTCAGCAGATTACTGGAGTTCTCTCTCTTTGTGAAGCTCATCCTCTTTTGAAAATTATAGAGCCCTTGGCCTCTCTGAACTCCAAACTGTGTTATTTCAACTCAGAGAGATCTCTCATCTTGTTTGTATTCTCCCTGCCCGTGCTGGCACCTAGAAACAGCCTAAAAGCAGTAAAATAAGGCAATCATAGGACCCATCTTGTTTCCCTTTTCTCAGAGATCATTGTCTTGTAATGTCTGTTGTCCAGTGTCTGAAAACTGTTGTTTCACTTATTTTGTCCAGTTTTGTGTTTTTTTAAGGAGGGGAGAGTAAATCTGGTCTCTGTTAACTCCATCATAGCTAGAAGCCTCAATTAGAATTTTAACACAATGAAAACGCTAATATGCTTGCCTTCTTAGATAATTTAACCCATATGCTAATTTATCCCATGGAATCATATAAGGAAATCAGACATATTTATTATGTTTTTCTCCTAGAATAAAGCATATGTAGGGAATTTTACAGCTTCCTTAATATTATAAGGTGCTTTTAAGAAGGGGGAAAAAAATTGATTCCAAGTGTTGGAACGATTTCACTTGACCAAACACACTTTTGACTGAATATCTAAATCATTCATGAATTATAGAGCATTCAGAGACCCTGTTTGCCATAACCAAACTGTCTGGAGTTGCTCATTTTATTTCTTTTCTCTTTCTTTTTTGACATTTAATTATAAAGGTAATCCCTGAATTCATTTTCGTATAAGTATTCAGACAGTATGAAATTGCTTATTTTCGTATCTTGTGCTGCTATGCATAAGATCTTTTGTTTCAGAATGTGTCCCTTTTTAATTTTCACAACTTTTTATTTTGAAAATTTCAAACCAGTAGAAAAGTTGAAAGAGTATAACAATGAATACACTTTACCTAGATTCACCACTTCTTAACATTGTGCTACATTTGCTTTATCTCACTCTTTTCATAGATGAGGCATACATATAACCTAGATATATATTTTTGGCAGAAACCTTTGAAAGTAAGTTGCAGACATCGTAAAACTTCACTGCCAAATACTCAACCATGCGTCTCCTAAGAATAAGTTCATTCTTCAATATAACATCATACCCTTATCACATCTAAGAAAAATTAACAATAATTTTGTGATAAAATATAATATTATATTCAAATTGAGATTTCCCAATTTGTCTTTAAAATAGCTTTTATAACTGGATTTTTTTCCAGTCAGAATTCCATCAAAATTCATGTTTTGAGTTGAGTTGTTAAGCATCTTTTTATTTTGAATGTCATAAATAATTTAATATAAGACCAATTTTTTAAAACCTGTCTTCAGCTTAATTTTGAAGTCTTAAGTAATTTTCATGAAAGTCTTTAGCCAGATATTCATTGCATGAATATCTTAATTTCACTGCCTTTTGAACTATTAAAAGAAAATATGTTTTATGTTAACAACCACAACAACAAAAAATAGGTCAATGCAAAGGAGCCTTTGAAATTGATTCCATGCTCCTTATCATTTTCTGAGGCTAGTATTAATATAATGTTTTATTAAGTAGACTAGATATTAGTTGACATTAAGAAATTCTTGTTAGTTTTTTTAGGTGTGATAGAGATAATGTGATTGAGTTTTTAATTTAAAGTGAAATGAGATGATATCTGTAAACTGCTTTAAAATAATCTAGGCAGAGGCAGGAAAAGAGTGTGTGGTGATACTGATAAAGCTAGATTGGCAAAATGTTAATTTTTGAAGGTCAGAATTGGGGACATGTATTTCTTTTACTATTTTCTCTACATCTGTGTACATTTAAATTTTCCATAAAGATTTTTAAAATGTAAACAACAACTGCATATTATACTGGTCACATTTTCTGACCGAGATCAATTAAACTAGGCATTAATAACAAAAATAATACAATAACAAATTAAAACTACTTAAAACTAAAAGATATTCTTCTAAGTGACACTTGAATTAAAAATAAAAATCATAACTAAAGTTATAAACTATTTAAAAAATAGTGATAACCACAACACTAAATATTAAGACTTTTGAAAAGAGCATAAAGTTTCAAATGCTTTGAGGACGATGATGAAGATGATTCAAGGAAGAATGACAATAAATGAACTAAATATTAATGCCAGAAACTAGAAAAAGAACAGAATAAACCGAAGGAAAATAAGAAAAAGAAAGAAATTAATAATTCAAACTAAAAACCAAATTAATATATCAATTCAAGAGCTGGATATCTGAAAAAAGAATGACATAGATAAACCACTAGATGTCAAAATTGAAATGGAAGAAAACCACAAATAGGAATGAAAATGAGCATGTCTTAACCTTAGACAAGAATAGATTTTAAAAATGTAAGAGAATTCTATTTCATGAGTGAACATAGCATTTGTTAGTATGTGAATAAATGAGAATTGTGATGAAATTAATGATTTATAGAAAAATCTCTAGAAGAGTTCTGTTTACATTAGAAGAATATAAGTAATCTAATACTCATGGGAGAAACTGAGAAAACTGGTAGAGAATTGCTTCTTAAAATGGCCCCTGAGTATTTATCAAATATCTGGAAATGTGTGAAAAGTGTCTCTGTATCACCTGATGTCCCTATCTCTTGCAGAGTAAACCTAGTGTACCTGCATATGGCTCAGAATATGTCCCACACAAGCAAGAACAATCATCCAAGTGTAGGGTTATTTTTTAATGGAAATAGTCTAAATAACTAGTAATAGAAGGTTAGTTTAGTAAATTATAGCCTAAGTAAAAAATATATAGGAAAATTTAATTCCATGGGGAGAAAATGTCATGATATGTGTTTTTTTTTAAAAAGGTTACTGAATAATCCTGTTTTTTTTAATTGATGTCTTAATAGTTTATAATATTGTGAAATTTTAGTTGTACATTATTTTTTGTCAGTCACCATATAAATGTCTCTCTTCACCCCTTGTGCCCACCCCCCCAACCCCCTTGCCCCTGGTAACCACCAAATAGTTCTCTCTGTCCGTGTGTTAGTTTATTGAATAATCCTAGTTTTGTAAACATGTTCATTTATGGAAAAAAAATACTAAATATACATGAAGATGTTAAAAATAAACATCTCTGGGTAGTAGAAATATAGATGGTTTTTAATTGGGGACAGAATGTGTTTATTTAGCTTTTAAATTTCCTACATACAAAAATATGTATTACTTTGTAATAAGAAAAATATAATAAGAAACTGGCCCAGTGGTATAGTGGTTAGGTTCGCACACTCTGCTTCAGCGGCCCGGGGTTCATGGGTTCAGATCCTGGGTGCGGACCCACATACCACTCATCAAGCCATGCTGTGGTGGCATCCCACATACAAAATAATAGAGGGAGATTGGAACAGATGTTAGCTCAGGGACAATCTTCCTCAAGCAAAAAGAGGAGGATTGGCAATAGATGTTAGCTCAGGGCCAATCTTCCTCACCAAAAAGAAATATATATGTATATAATAAAAATAGTAAAAGCAAAACTGGATGGTAGAAGAGCAATACTGGAAAATACTGAATATACATAATTGTAAATCTACATTTTTTTTACTAAGTATTGTCTTGTAATTATGGACTGAGTTCACAAATAAAAGCTGTATCTGAACCAAAGGGATATTAAAGTGATTAATATCTTCACTATCTCTGCCAGTTGAATCAACCTGCATATTCTCAAATTGTTCAGTAGTAGATATATAGTGTGGCTGCAGCAAAGTAGAGGTGTCATACATATTCTTTGTTGCCTTGCCATGAGAAATCCTTAAATATTCCTAATTGATTGATTACAGACTCACTCTTGGAAAAACGTGTAAATGTTAAAAGCAAAATAGTTAATCATGAATGAAATATTTCCTAGGGAGTTTATACTTGACATTTAAATTCTCTCTGAAACTACTTATCTTAAGAATTTCTTCATGTTTTCCAGTTCCTGAGAGCAGAAATGAACCAAGACTATCATTTGGCAAAAAAATTATGTCAGATGAGTAAGTACAAACTACTTTTCTGTTTTCCAATCTTCTGTTTCTAAATACATTCCATAATATGTAAGATGGTTTGATTATCATAAGTCTAGTGAATTCCCTGATGAGTGTCTCAATGATTCATTGATAGTAAATTAGGTTGATTGGTATAAGGACTAATTTAGAATTCTAGAATGACTTTGAGTGGGATAAACTAACAGAGACTAATTACCACCACTGAAAAATAAGTCAAAATCCTTACCTTCATAGTAATGGGTTAGTAACTTTATGCCTTTAGTTTCAAAGAAGTGTCAGGTGATGCAGCAAACCTTACTTAATATGCAATTATTCTACAAATATTTAAATGCCTATATGTGCCAGGTACTGTTCTAGGCATTGGAAATACAGCAGTCAACAAGACAGATAACAATCCCATATTTTATATCTAGTATCAGATAATAAACTCATATGTAACTATTGTGTCATAAATAAGTGCTATGGAGAAAAATAAAGGAGGGAGGAAGGAATAGAAAGTACTGGGAGGAAACAAAGTAGTTTTCGATCAGATAGTCCAGGAAGGCCTCACTGACAGACTTGAGCAAAGACTTGAAGAAGTTGAGGAAATTAGTCATGTGGATATGTGGAGGAAGTGTGTTCCAGGCAGGACTCACTGTGCTGAGATGTGAATGGGCCTGATGAGGAACGGCACGGAGAACAGTGTCACCGGAGCCAAATAAGCAAGGGGAAGTATGTTGATGAGGTCAGAGAGGTTATGGGCTGGGGGTTGTGCAAATCACAGGGCATCTTTTCACAGTTTAAGGACCTTGGCTTTTTGTCTGAGTGAGGTGGGAAACCATTGGACACTTTTGAGTAGAGGAATAGTATGATCTACCTTACTTTTCTTTTTATCTTTGGTTATTAGTGGTTTGACTTGTTCAAAATAGTTGTGATTTTCTTTATATTTACACAAAGGGAAGTTTGGGAGGTTTGCTAAGTTTCTTAAATCTGTGGGTTGATGTTTTCATCAACTTTGAAAATTTCTTAGCCATTACCTTTTCAAATATCACTTCTGCCCTATTCTCTCTCTCTCTTCTCTTCTTGGGTCTCCAATTTGACATAACTTAGACTTGTTTTCATGGTATGCCACATGTATCTTATACTCAGCTGTGTTGTTTCCATTTCTTTTTATTTCTCTGCTTCCATTTAGATATATTCTATCAACCTGTTTTTAAGTTAACTTATCTTCTGTTGTGTACAATTTGCTATTAAAACTATCCAGTGAGTTATTAATTTCAAAGATTGTATTTTCCAATTTTAGAAAGTCCATTTAATGATTTTGAAAGATGCCAGCTCTCTGTTGAAATCCACAGTCTTTTCAACTATTTTGTCCATCTTTTTCTCTAATACATTACTCATAGTTATTTTAAAAGAGAAAATGGCAACTCTACAATTCATGTTGATAAAAGGACTCAAAATATTAACTAGTGTTAGACTTAAGTTAAAAGTCCTTGAAGTGAAAGCATACTATAGGGATTGTGAGGGTCTGCTGCTTGCCTCACACAGAGTCTCTACTGTGGATACAGTACTTCTTAAATCATTGGCTAATTTTTAAAATGGGTCTCTTGAATACTTTAACACTACGGATTTTCTATCCAAGGTAAATAATTTGCCTTGTTTAATCCTTTCAAGCTTTTGATCTTTAGAGCCATCGAATAAAATATTTTGATCAAAACTATTTTCGGTGGCCCACAAACATAGAATTTCCAATCAGAAGGAATCCTTAGAGAAAACCACGTCCAAGTCTCTATTTTTGTGAATAATGAAACTGAAGCAGAGAGAGGTTAAGCAGCTTGCTCAGCCCCACCCAGGGAGATAGTGACACAGCCAGAGCTGGAACCCCAGCCTCCTTCTCCCACAACACGTTTCTTCTCTGTGAGGCTAGGGTAGAAGTGAGTGATTCTGTAGCTCTGGCTCCCAGTTCTCTGAGTTTCTTGTGGAGCCTAATTGTGGGAAAATTTATGTATTGTATTTCCCCATTCATCAATCATTTTAGAAAGCCTCTGGCTGAAGCCTACACAATATATGCACTAATACCACCACATCTGTTAGTCAGTTTTGGCTGTTAGCCCTGCAGTATGCTATGTAAACAGCAGGTGTGCAATAAAATGCTTATTGACCTAACTCAAACCAGTAAACACACATTACGTGCCAGGTCAATGGGGATGAAAAAGTTCAAACTGATCTATCTTAATGGGGTTATATCCTTTTAAAAACTCACTCCCTTCCTTTCTTCCAACAAATATATATTGAGCACCAACTGTGTACCAGACGTTCTGCTGGGAGCTGGAGAGAAAGCAAGAATCTGAGCTCTAAACCCTCTTGGGGTTTACATTAGACATGGTTTGGTTTGGTTTTCACACATACTGGCTCATCCAGTAACACTGTTCCACTACTTTCTGTCAGTGTCAATTAGTGATGCCTCTAAAACCAAGAATTAGGCTATAAGAAAAGGAGCTGTGGAGGGCCCTAAGACAGGCACCATGTTCCAGGGAGCCAGTTGAAGAAGAGCGTTGCTCCCACAAGGAAGAAGGAGCTGACTGGGGGTGTGCAAAATAAGATTGGCGCCCTTGAGGCCGATTCCCAGCCAACGATGTGAAATTAGGGAGGCTCGGGTTTAGCAATGCCAAGCAAGTTCAAGGAAGAATGGAGAGTTGGAGACAGACTCTGTCTCAGGGAGAAGAAAGTGCTGTTTCTTTGATGCCAATAGGAACACTTGGCTGAGGGCTGCCCACAGTTCCTCTCTGTATTCACAGCAACAGACAAAATGAATTTTTTTAATCTAGCATGGACCCCAAAATATTATGTGTAAATTCTTACAGTATAGATATTCTTTTGTCTCTTTTTTCTATCTTCTAGCTTTTCTACAGAGCACTCCTCCTTTCTCTCTATATTTATAAATTTATATATGTAAACGTAGATTATATGTTTACACATTTATGTACTTATTGAGCACCTACTATGGGAGTATTTTTTAATTTACACTGTTTAATTCTTAAATCTACTCTGTGAGGCAGGTATTATTAACCCCACTTTCCAGATGAGGAAATTGAGGCTTAGCAAGGAAAACTAATTCACACCAAGTCACACAACTACTAAGTGATAGAGTTAGGACTCGATCCCAGATGTGGCTTGAAAGCCTATGATTTCCATTTCCTCATTTGATTTATAAGCTTATATTTCTAGCCAAGCAGGCAGAGACTTGGAAAAGAAATACTTTTATGGATTAATCAGGCTTGAAATGGCTCCTATGGCTGATTAAAATATTTTCTTTATTTGTATCTAAGGCAATTAATTTATATGAAATAATGCATCTTTATCTCTTCAGAAATGTTTTGCAAATTCATTTTCTTGAATAAAGCTTCTGCTTCTTGGTGTGTTTTCTTGCTGTCCTGTTCTGGTGTAGTCACTTATATCTTCATTTGGCTGCAGTCACTTGTTTCCCACTTGGCGTCCCGGGTGCCCATGGGTTCTTTTCTCTTTGTCCTGCCTGTTAAAAAATTTGTGTTGGGTTCCCCCAAGAAATTTTATCTGTTGGTGAAGGCTTGAATTTTATCTGTCTTCTACACACAGTTTTTATATGGTCCTAATATTTCCTCAGCCATTTTCCTGCTGTCTCATGCAGAACTGATATCTGTGCTCCATGCCATTTCCCACCAGGCATTGGAGGCAGCCTGGAAAAGTGGTTTTTAAGTGGAACTGAAAGTCAAGAGTCCCAAGTACTTTTCTTAGTTCATCTCCCGATTGACGGTGAGATTTTGTGCCAATCAATTGTCCTATTTCTTGGTCTCTTCACATATAAGAAGAGAACCTGCGGCTCAGTCTTCTCAGGGCTCCACACTTCTGCTCACAGGCAGCCCAAGATTCTACACAAAAAATCATTTAGGCCTGGAAGACATATTTCATCGATTATAATAATCATAAATATTTAAGAATAATGGCCTGAAAATCAAAATGGTTCTCTTTATTATAGGTCTACCACAAATACAGACATATCTTCAGAAAAGATAGTTCCTATAAAGTTGTCTGTTTCTTTTTGAGTAAAATAAATCACCCTTTACTGTTAGCCTAGAGTATAATTTTATCTAGGCATAAGGGACTGCTTCCTACTCAATTGTCTGTATTTGTTTATTCTGTTTTTTAATGTTTTGAGGGCTTCAGCTCTAGTGCCAGGCACTCTCATAGAGATGCAACAGTGAACAAGACCAGGGTTCTGTCTACTGTAGAATAGCCCCCAGTCTGAGAGACTTAGAGCCCCACGGGCAGCAGAACCCCCCTACTCCCTACCCCAGCCCTTCAGCCGGAAGAAAACATCCACTGAATGCTTAGGATGGAACCAAGCCTTTCTCTGAGCCCAGAACCATTCCAGGAAAACAGATAATAATGAACATTTATTCAGCACTTACTGTGTACCAAGGACTAGACTAAATACTTTATCTACATTATCACATTGATTCATCAAAACACCCCGGTGTGGTCGATAGTATTATTACAGATAAGGGGACTGAGGTAAGAGATAGTAAATACTTTCCCCAGATGACCCAGCTAGAGAGTGTCAGAACTAGCATTCACATCTGACAGGCTTTTGTCAGGGCCCACACTGGGCTCTGCTTATGGGCCCAGGTTGGGAAACAACCCCCAGGACACCAACTGCATGTGCTAGAAGCTTCTCTTACCTTTTTACAAACTCTACTAGCCTGTCAAAGAGTAAGAAGAATTTTTGATTCATCACCTAGAATGGATATTGCTGGGCTAAGTTTCAAAACAGATGCCATACCCCCACTCTGAAAATTGACAGTTGCCATCCATTTTTTGTTAAACCATGAGAGTAGCTGATCCCATACTCCAGTCCCTTGAGATACTCCTAATTCCACCATGAAATTTTCTAAACTATGGTCCAAGGAATATTAGTTCAAGATTTCTTAATAAGTGTTCCACCAAAAAAGCTTCCATGGGAATAATAAAAACCACATTCTCTTCTCTATAAGATTCATAATAATTATGAGCATATTAATAGTTCTGTAAAATCCTGCAATTCTTCCTTACTGGAAGCTTTACCTGATTAACTTCATTTAACCCAGTTTCCCAAATATGTATTAACATTTTAAGAAACTAGTATCTCAAGGAGCAAGTTGGAAAAACCCTGCTCTGAGGCTTAGCAGAGAAAGATTTAGACTGCTACTGATAAGCATATTTTAGCCCAAGTTAAAATGTATAAAAAGTTGTTTTTGTTAGAAACCTTAAGAGATGTATAAATACCTATAAGGTCTTGAAAGCAGCTTTTGAGCCAGGTGTACAATCATGCTAACCCAGATTGATGGTAAATTGTTATATTAGTAGATTAGGAAATAAAGACACTGGTTTGGTGTGTCAGGATGAAAGCCACATGGGGTGAGGTCCTATGAGCCAATAGGACCTAGTTGAACCATCCACAATTCTCTCTTATGCTTAGCCAGGTGAATAGCACACTTGATGTTTCAGTGCCCCCTAGGGGCCATCAAGATATTGCACAGGTGTCACAATATTAAATGGATGATGCAGGATTATGAATACTCCTCAAGGCAGGTGGGAAAAAGGTAGAGAGAAATCTGTAGAGTGAGATCTGAAAAAAAATAGTATAAAAAACTCTGAGGGGCCAGCCTGGTGGTGTAGTGGTTAAGTTTGCACACTCCGCTTCGGCAGCCCAGGGTTCAGAGGTTCCAATTCCAGGCACAGACGAAGCCATGTGTGGCGGTGTCCCACATTCAAAAAATAGAGGAAGACAGTCCCAGATGTTAGCTCAGGGCTAATCTTCCTCAGCAAAGAAGAGGAGGATTGGCAACAGGATTGGCATCAGACCCAATCTTCCTCATCGAAAAACAAAAAACCCTGAAACAAAAGGTATAAATCATTCTAGCCTCTAGGATGTTGGTAACCTACCAACAAGCCTTAAAAAGAACCTACTGGTATGGTCCAAAGGAAGGATGACACATTCACATGAAGGATCAGCAAAAAGGAATAAATAGTGCTAAAAACAATGGATCTGATGAAGAGGGGAGAATGCTGTTAAGTAGGTGATGACTGGGGTGTGAACTAGGGTAAAAGTTTTCAGGATGAAAAGAAAGAAGAAACATCAGTTTTCCCTATTTCAAAGTTGAGTTTTTAAAAATGACTTCTTTACTGTAGAAGAGCTTGCTTGAAAAGAAAATGAAGAAACAAAAACCACTCCGTTCCTTTGTGTTTGGGTTAAACCTTTAGTAAAGGATGTGTAGACATTGAGTGGGTGAGGTGAAATGGGAGATTAACAGACCTCTAGGCACACAGTCTTCTCATTAGGAAGTGTCCATATTTTCAAGATTTGTACCTTGTTTGGAGAATAATTATGGTCAAGAGACACTTTGACTACAGGCCTATGAGGGAAGCCTCATAGTGATGGAGACTGCATTCTTTGGACAGGAATTAGAAAATATAATAAGGATTATATCTCTTACAAAGCAACTAAGATAGGGAGAGCGTTTTCTTTATTTGTACTTAGATATACCCGTGGTATAATTGTTGGTGTTTATCGCTTTCTGCATTTTCACTTACTCTGATTGACAGTTTCAGACTCATTCTGAGGAGCCTGTTTGCTAAAACACTTTGAACATTAATAACACACATCCTGTTGTCCATTTTCAGTTCTAATCTATGAACCAGAAAATCCTGAGGCCAAGGAGTTTTTCTCACTTATTGAAGAAATGTTGCTGATGGGTAAATTAAAAAATTGAAATTCGTTTTTTTCTCATAGAACTGTGAGCAGTCACTATTTAAAAACTCGGTATCCCAGGAGATTGGCAAAGTACATCCTCAGAAAGTGGTTGAGCAAAGGCATAAACAAACACATAGATAGGGAGAACAGATTGATGGTTACTATAGGGGAAGGGGGTTGGGGGAGGGCAAAAGGGGTAAAGGGGCATATACGTATGGTGACAGATAAAAACTAGACTATTGGTGGTGAACACGATGCAGTCCATACAGAAACTGAAATATAATAAGGTAAACCTGAAGTTCACACAATGTTCTAAGCCAACGTGACCTAAATAGAATAATTTAAAAAAAAAAAAAGAAAAGGCCAAATGGTTGTCTTGGATGGTTTAATGAAACCAGCTTGTCCTCTAGAAGGTCAAAATGACTCCCTTTTCTCTGTGGGGTGGAACTGCCCGAGCAGAGCAGGCTCCCTGGGCACCAGGCATCAGGCACCGACAGAGTTTTTGAGGGAATATAACCTGCTAATTGCCCCATGTATTAAAGGGATTATCCCACAATTCCAAGGAAAGCCAGTACCCTCTAAATTACCCTAAATCTCACTCACTCTTATTGTATTTAAGTAAGAATTACATTGACAATGGTTATAGACTTATGTTTTAAATTTACTTTAAATCCACAAACATCTTTGTGCCAGTAAGAATGTATTCTTCTTTGTATTACTACTTTGACCCTACCTACAGTTAGCAAAGTTCAGCTCAGTTCTCACATTCCAAAAATGGGTATTTCTTGGTGGATGGAGAAGCAAGGAGAATTATGATTTTTCAAAGAGAGGAAATATTAAGAAACATTTTAAGCAATTCTCTTCCTTTCTGTGGCAGAGAAAGCTCAAAATCTTGAGGAAGATGATGAAGATAGTGAAGACGACAGTAGCGGTGCAAGTGAAGGGGAGAGCAGTGAGGGTCTAAGTGAAGAAAGCTCCGATGAATGTGAAGATGGGTGATGAACGCTGCCGCTATGGTTTACTCTTCACGTATTTTCATTTCTGTATATCATGGAAATATAAAGAAGAGAGCTGCATTTTGCTCTAATTGTTCTTTATTTGGTACAGAGTTCTTTTAATTTATCCAAGTTAGTTTGAGTTCCTTCATAATATTTAGGTCTTACTTTAATGTGAGTTACTCAGAGGAAAATAGTCAATAGAAAACACTTACATAGCACTAACTATGTGCCAGGTACTGTTCTACATACATCAATTTACTTAACCCAGCAGACCCATTGGGTAAGTACTAGTATTATCTGCAATTGACAGATGAGAAAACTGAGGTACAGAGAAGGTGAGTAGTTTGCCCAGCATCATACACCTGTTGAGTGGTAGAGCCTGGATTTGTACGTGGACGTTATGGCTGCAGAATCTATACTCTTAGCCCGTCCCTTGACCACCACTTCAGGCACTTTAACCTCCTTGGTTTTATGTTCTTTATGGCATGTATCAGTACCTGAAATTCTTATTTAATATTCGTTCTTGTCATCTTTTCCCTTTCTGTCAGAAAATGTAACCTCCATGAAGTAGGACTTGATCTTTTTCAGCATTATGTCCCTAGCAACTGGATAAGTGCCTGGCAAATAACGGGATATATATACCAGTGAATGAGTGAATGAAGTGAAAGTTAGTGAAAATGTTTATAGTCTTTCATGAAACATTTGTAAGACTTTATTACACTTTTTATGTATGAATCTACATTATTTTGCTGATTCTGTATTCCCTGATGAATTTCTGCCACCTTCAAATTAGGTTGTAAGGTAACTGAGGTAAAAATGAGAAAAATATTCCTAAGTAATTTGTTTTTGAGTGTGCCAGTCTGACTTGGGGGTAGGCATTTTGAATTTTTATTCTTATATTAGCACAATATCATGTCATATCCAAAATGCTTGCAACATAGTTTATTCTTTGGGCATTTTGTAGCCTGCTAACACTCAGAGGAAAAAATTCTGCACCATTTCATGGGAGTGACTGAAAGAAATGAAGATGGGTATGTATAATCTTCTAGTTACATAAATAATCAGATAGCACTGGAGGGCTGACTGACACAGACCTCGGGAATGGTTTGTTCTTTTCATTTGAGGGTTCATTACTCCTCTGCACCACAGGAAAACCACCATATGTCAATATGATGACACTTATCTGATTATGGAGCTCCCCCTACCATAAGAAGTGCATAAAATACCCTAAAACTTATATTGCAGACTAAGTAAGTTACACTAATGAGATTTTAGTTTTCTTTTAAAGGAACAGGAAAGGTCTGAGGAAGAAACTTTCTAAATAAAAAGCCATGATATCACAGGCCATGTTACAGCTAAATCTAAGAATTTGCAGGGTTTGCTCATGCAGGATAATCAGTACCCTTCTATCCATATTCTTCATACTACTTGGACTCCTTAATCAATGAAACTTAGAGTGTTGGCATAACCTAACATAGGCACGTGTGTCTGTGTGTAGTAATAATAGCTAAAAGATAATCTGTGAAGTATTTTTATATAACCTAACCCTCTAGCTTCTCACGATAGTCCTAAGAGCATGCTTATCTCTGTCAGTTACACGAATGGAATTTGGGATGCTTAGGGATATCCAAAGGTTGAAGTTAACTGGAGTATTGGAATTCAGATGAGGTAATTAAGACTTAAAGATGCTAAGTTATGTCCCAGGATGAGAAATCTAGTGAATCTTGAGCTCAGCGTTCCATGCTGCTTCACACATAGCTAAACTCTAGAAACTGTTTAATGAATCGGCAAACAAGTTGTATCTAGGTAGACAGTTCAGTTCCAGACCTATGCCCTCTTCAAAACTTTATAACAGGTTACAACTGTGTGAAAGAACCCAAATATCCAACAACACGGCGATGTGTGAGAATGTCTACTCAATGGATTTGTTTGAAACTATTTCATTAAGAAATGAAATAGTTTCATTTATTCAATAAATATTAAAAATAAATATTTACTGAAGGCCTACTAGGTATGCTATGGGGAACAAAACTCAGTCCCTACTCTTAAACAGCACTGTTGTAGTTGAAATACAGGGTGATAAACACCACCATTGAGGAAGTCCAGGGTGCTAAGGGAGCACACAGGAGGGGCACCTTAGGCAGGCCAGGCATCCAGGGAAAGCATTCAGAGGGAAGTGAAGTCTAAGTTGAGAAGGTAGAATGAGCAGGAAATAGCTACAAAAAGAGGATGTGGGGAAGAATGTTCTATCAGTAGATACATTCGGAGTCCAGACAGTAAGTAGGTAAGGTTGGATTCAAAACAAAAATGAACCAGTTAGAGATGAGACAGATGAAGCTATGGTTATAAAAGGGCTCGGTAATGGAGGATCTTATAAGCTGCGTTAAAGTTTGAACTTTATCCTTAGAGTAGTGGGAAGCCATTGAAGGATTTTAAGGAAAATAATAATTGTATTTGAGAAAGAGCATTCTAGTAGCCAGATAGAAATATGTTGTCTCAAACTACAGGTCATGATCCATTGGTCAGTTATGAAATCATTATAGTGAGTCAGTAATAGCTGGGGTTTTTAAAATTAAATATGTAGGATAGAAAATAGCACACATTGCAAAAGAGTATGGGAATTATGGTTTTGTGAAATTTCTGGTTCAAGAGTTTGTGTGTGTCCTAGATCTTGATGTGAAATGTATTTCTTCCTATGGACCCAAATTAAGAAATATATATATATATGAAAGTGTAGAGAGCAGACTAGAGTGGAATACAAAACTCCACTGTGTAGGGGAAGAAGAGAATTCCTCTACCCTCTAGGTCCTTCTGGCTGGGCTACAAATAAAATTGACATGAGGTAAAATAACAAGAGAAAATCAAACAGAGCTTTATAACATGTATACATGGGAGAAACCCAGGAAAACTGAGCAACTTGCCAGAATGGCCAAAGCTGTCACCTTAAATATCATCTTCAACTAAAGACAAAAGAGGATGTTGGGGGTGGGGAGAGTCAGTTATGGAAGGTTACTAGAAAAGCACAGTAAACAAGATATGGTTATTATGCAGATTTAAGTCCTTGCCTTCCACATTGGTAAGAGTTTCTAGAGATAAGGTCATCCTCCTCTTCCTGGTATAGAGAGGGAGATATCTTTACAAATGGAGATTTCCCTTACAAATATAAATGTCTCTTACAAAGGGTAACTTCTGTTTGGTTTTCAGAGCTTTTCCCATGTCTGCATTTTTTGTTTTTTTTTTTTTTAAATAACGAGCCAAAATAGTCCTCATGCCAAAGAGACACATTTTGGGGTGGCCAATTCTGATTCACCACAACTGTTACATAGAAATTCTAGCAGTTCAAAATTATAGCCTGAAAAGAGGTAGTAGCAGAGAGATGCAATGGAATGGAGGAGTTATTTGAGAGGTAGAAAGAACTGACAGGAATTAGTGATGAATTAAATGTGGGGGAGAGGTAGAGGTCAAGGATGACTTCCAATTGGATAACTGGGTCTATGGTGGTACTCTCCCCTAAAAAAGGAACACAAAGAAAAGCAGATTTGCTGGAGAAGATGGCAGTTCACTTACACAAGTTGAGTATGGGAAGTATATTAGTTTTCTATGACTGCTGTTACAAGTTACAACAAACTTAGTGGCTTGAAACAACACAAATTTATTATCTTCCACTTCTGGAGGTCAGAAATCCAAAATGGGTCTCACTTGGCCAAAATCAAGGTGTCAGCAAGGCTGCATTCTTTCTGAAGGCTCTAGGAGAGAATCTGTTTCCTTGCCTTTTCCAGCTTCTAGAGCCTGCCAGCATTCCTTGACTTGTGGCCCCATTCCTCCATCTTTAAAACCAGCAATGTCTGACTGGGACCTTCTCACATTGCCATCTCTCAAGTTCTCCCGTTTGTGAGTTTTGTTAAATTAACATTTGTTAAGTAGAACTTTCAGGTGTCAGATGGTGAGCCATGGTTCAACAAAGACCACCAGGGAAAATGAAATAGAGTAGTTTATTATTCACAGGTCCTGGAGGAGGTATACTGCATGCCTTGGAGGGCCCACATGGGGAGGTCAAGGTGCAGGCAGAAAGTGAGCAGGAGAACCTGGGATACATGTCTTTATTAGGGTCCATGAGTGGAGTGCTTTTGGGGTTCCTGGGCTGAGGGTGAATTAGTCAACTCACACCCAAGAAAAGCAGGGTTTTGGTACATTCCATGGGGATCTTATGGAAGGGGCACACAAGGGGAAGGAGCTGGGAAGCAGGAGAGACTATTTATCACCAGGGGCCTTAGGGGAGTCATATCAGGAACTTGCTTGTGACTCTGTGGGCTATTATCTCTGATGCACAAACTGTTACCTAGGGCATACACTTGAGGGAGAGGCTAGTGTCAATTCAAGGCCCCTGTAGGTCACTTAGCCACACAAAACGGACACAGAGGCAGCAATATTATGGAATAGTTTAGCTAAACTCTCAACACCCTGCCTCCCTCTTCCACTTTAAAGACACTTATAATTACTTTGGGCCCATCTGGATAATCCGGTATAATCTTCCCCATCTTTTTTTTTTTTTTTTTTAAGATTTTATTTATTTTATTTTTTCCCCCCAAAGCCCCAGTGGATAGTTGTATGTCGTAGCTGCACATCCTTCTAGTTGCTGT